CATGTTACAACACAGTAGGGCTATTGTAGACAGAAACAATACTGTACCACATCGATGTTTCCTGTCGGCTCAATTTTTGAGTGGACTTGCTGTTCGGATGAGCATTAACGGTATATGAGTGGAGCGACTGAGCGGAGCGCACACGCATAGAGCGGGATAATACGCAGAGCGTCACACAACGTGAAAGTGAAACCTGAGCGGTGAACTAATTCGGCAGCCGAAATTTCGGTGCATCTCTAATTATTGGCGACATCAGAAATGGATATTATATAATAGATGCTTTTTTGAACATTTTAGCAATTTAAAAATATTAAAAAATGATTTTTTACACGGCACCCCTGCTCTCGACAGACGGCACCCCGGTTGGGAAACACTGGACTAGAGTATACAGTGTAAATCATTTTAATGTAATCTAAAGGTATATAATGCCAGACTTTGTCCTAAATCTGTTATTCTTGTTGCACTTTTTTTCCAGGTGATGTAAATTTCTCTTATTAAGGTCTTAGGAGACAATGCAGTGTCACAGTGGGTCTCATCTTGTTACTTGAGTCCAAACTATCTGGCCTCTTGTGTATGAAACATTTATGTTGATTAATTTAAAAGATCTGTCCCGGAGTATCAAATGACAAAGCAGGTCTGCGCATCCTGATACGGTTGTGTCTCTCTCAACGGGCTCTTTTTGCGGATGGCTGTATTTGATATGTTTTCTCTTATTTCTTCTATGCTGTGCTTATGCTGTGCCAAGTGTCATGTTATGTATCGTATTAACACAGTCTCTGCTCTGTTTCACCATCTTTTCCTGCAGCTCCAGAATCTGAGTCATAATGTGATCTTCACACTGGACTCCCTGTTGAAAGGCGACCTGAAAGGCGTGAAGGGGGTGAGAAATATTTACAGACCTTGTCTCATAGACCATCAGACACGCAGAGGCTAAATACACATGCAGATGCATGCAAACTTTTCTTGTCTACAATTGTGCTTTCATACTAAGCCAGGAACATAAACAATATATTAAAAGAAGATGTTGTAGACCTGTTGAAGTACCTTTGTGTGTAAAGCTCTGTTCAAGTAAATGGCTTCATGATGTCACAAACTAAACTAGCCCGCTGCGGTTTTAATGTAATGCACTGAAACTGAATGTGGTCAAGTGCGGCTATCTGTGATGTCCTGCTTATCAGAAGATCAGCAGTCTGGCTACCACACCAGGAGTCAATTAGAGCCTACTAATGGATCTGTCATTTACCACAAGTAACTAATGGTCATATCTATGATTGGTGCTCCAGATATTCATCACAATAATGATGAGTCTGTCACGGTCCTAATCTGCTGTTTACTTTACTGCTGGAAAGATATCATCCCTCCACACTGATGAACATGGTTAACTCAGCTCTGTCTTTGTCATTGGATTTTGGGTGTGACATCTGCTTTGTTGTAAACATGAGTGAGTCTAATTACTGCACCTGGCTCATTACTATTTTTTCAAAAAAAAATTTCCAGGACCTGAAAAAACCCTTTGACAAGGCCTGGAAGGACTACGAAACCAAGTTGTAAGTTTGCTTTATGCGTGTTAGCTGAGTGTGTCTGTATACACATTTGTCCATTCATACAATTACTTTCCGTCTGTGGGCTGCTGCAATTATCAGATGCATTTTACAGTAATCTAAAAGCACCATCAAAAAGCATGAGCAAGATCATTTTCTCCCCCGCAGATGTGAGAATAATATGAAATAAACACAGCACTTTTTTTTTTCAGCTGAGATGAGTTTGTTCTAAATAAACAAATATTTGTATTGCTTTTTATGATATCATTTCTTGCAATCTTACAGTACAAAGATCGAGAAGGAAAAACGTGAGCATGCCAAGCAGCATGGCATGATCCGAACAGAGATCACTGGTGCTGAGATCGCTGAAGAGATGGAGAAAGAACGGAGGCTTTTCCAACTACAGATGTGTGAGGTCTGTAGTGCACTTGGTTGGAGAACCTGTCTTCCTCACCAGAAATATGCCATAGTTGATATTGTTTTTATTTCCTTTATTATTTGTTTTGTTTGTCTATATTAATGAATTAATTAAATGATTTGGAATAAACATAGTTTTTTTTTAACAGAATATTAATTTGTATCTATATAAACAGGTCATTTTGAGTGCTAATAGATACAGTTATTCTGTAAAATTTATACATGTACATGGTCAGTGTTTTTTTTTTCTACTAGTGCTCCCACTACCCAAAATACTTTGTTGTATGGGCAGCAGAGAGATCTGTACATTATCATTACAGTCATTTTTTGCAATGATCAGTGAGTTATCATTCATTCACCAGAATGAGTTTACTTCTGACCTTATCAACAAGTTTTGCTGATGACATTAACATTCATAAATCAGCAGATGCAGCCAGTCAGTACCCTCTAATGAATCTCTGCTTTTTTTCTGTCACATCACCAGCTGTTGTGATTGGTACTCCTAATATAAATCAGAATAATGTAATGCTGCCATCTCAGTGCCAATGGCTTTTTTATCTTGCATCTTGAAAGATTCCCTTAGCATTAGAGCAGATGGCTTGGATTATGATAGAAATGTTTGTTTTATGGATTCATAATCATCAGTGTTGACTTTGTTCATTAGGGTGGATAGCTGTGGTGATTGGATAGGGTGCTTTTTTAACATGTTAATGAATTGTATTTGTCAATAGGAATTGCATCTTGAATTTATTTCATTCTGCATCAAGGGTTTGTGAGGGGTAGGTGTAATGTTATGTGTCTTGGGAAAAAAGGAACCTCAGGTTGCCTTTCAAATGGTATTGGACCAAATGACATGACAAAATCTAATATTTAATTGAATTCCCAAATTTTCCACTTAATTAAGCATTAATGTAGAGAAGGCATTGGTATATTGCTGAAAGTCTATGACATTATTCATGATTGTCTAGACATTTTACCAATTTTATGTAATTGGATGTTTCCAGTTTTCCTTTCTTAGTGGTTACACATGGGAGTACACATGTGAGTCCTCAACAAGGCATGTGATTTTAAGTAAAATCTAAAGATGAGAGCAATGAATATTCCATTATGCAGTAAGGTGACTCATTCAGATACAGAAAGCAACGAAGGAAATGACAAACTCTAGCGAACACATACAACATACCTACTACATGCATTATATGAAAACAAAGATGTGCACACACTGTAACTTGATTAGGAATCTATATACATACTGTTTTATGACAAAACTGAGGTTCAAAGGTTATGCACAAATTCATTCACACTCTAAGATGAGCGGAATATGTGCCATTTCACCCCAAGATATATTCAGACATGCCAGGGACCAAAAAGACGGATTAAATTTCTGAGCATAGCCAAAAATTGTTAGCTGGCGTGACTTTGCAAGATGTTCTGGAATTTACCCCTCTGGGCTAAACCGGGATTACGATGATGTTTAATTCATTTGTTTTGTGGGCTTGGTTTGTCACTGCATGTTCTTTACAGATTTCAGATTTAGAAGATGAAATTTTTGTCCTCTTTAGTTGCTTCTAATATAACAACAGTTAATTGTTTATTCAAACATTTAGGCTACATTTAAATATGTGCTACAGAGGGGACCTGCTATTTTCCCTAGAATGACTATTTCGAATAACTATTTATTTCAAATATTTCACAGCACTAAACATTTTACAATCACTTAATTTCATTTGTTCTACTTTTGAGATTACTAAACTCTGTTGTGACCAAAGTCTTGTCTGTTTCTACAGTACCTAATCAAAGTGAATGAAATAAAGACCAAAAAAGGGGTAGACCTCCTTCAGAACTTGATCAAGTATTACCACGCACAGTGCAAGTAAGTGACATTTCAATATACTAGATAAATAAGCCTGCTTAAATCCCCCTATTAATTAAAAAAAATTATTTTTTTAATTTGCTAAAATACATCAAGGTCACTCAAATGCAGAATCATGCTAAAACCTCATACATAAATCCCACTGACTCATCCAATTTGACCTGGACACTCTTGGCAGGTTGTTAGTGTTGGCACAATTTTAGTCATCTGTCAGTATTTGTGACACTGGACCACAAAACCAGTCTTAAGTTGCATGGGTATATTTGTAGCAATAGCCAAAAACCCCCCTTCCCGCCATCCCCCCTTAAATAATTTAAGGTCATACATCTGTTTAGTTTGTAGAACTGTGTATTTGACATGTTAATGGTCGATACAGAAAGTGTTATTGATCCATGTAACCTTGCAAGTGTCCTGGCCTGAAGGTCTGAAAAAGTGATGAGCTATCAGAAATAACTGAAAGTGTAGCACTTTTTTTCTTAGTCTAAAGGTTAAGGTTATTTTAAGCTAGTGTTGTCTTTGACCTGTAGATATATCAGCAGAAACCTGCAAGCTTATCTTGCACTTCAAGGTTGTGATGGGTCATTAATAAGACAAAGTTAATGTTTTGATTAGTTAAACATGTTTAATGCTGTTCATTTATTTTTGTAATGCTGATTTAACAGTGTAATTGTGTTCTGTGTGATTTCTGAGACTTAGCAGACTTATCAGAAATCTAAAAGTTCCTGGTGCAGCAACTTTTTTATGTGTCTCATCTGGGTTTCATTTAAAAATAAGTAGGCTAATTTGAATTTATTGTATGGTGAAATGTAATTATTTGTAAACTTAAAAAAAAAAAAATCACAATGTAAATAGTTCAATCAAGTTACAGACTTAGGCATTATGACACTTTGCAAAGCTCTCCACAGGTTTTTTTTATTATTTTTTTAATTTGCTAAAATACATCAAGGTCACTCAAATGCAGAATCATGCTAAAACCTCATACATAAATCCCACTGACTCATCCAATTTGACCTGGACACTCTTGGCAGGTTGTTAGTGTTGGCACAATTTTAGTCATCTGTCAGTATTTGTGACACTGGACCACAAAACCAGTCTTAAGTTGCATGGGTATATTTGTAGCAATAGCCAAAAATACATTGTATGGGTCATAATGATCGATTTTTCTTTTATGTCAAAAATAATTTGGATATTAAGTAAAGATCCATGAAGATATTTTGTAAATTTCCTACCGTAACTATATCAAAAGCAAATTTTTGATTAGTAGTATGCATTGCTAAGGACTTCATTTGGACAACTTTAAAGGTGATTTTCTTTTGGTTTTGTGGTCCAGGATCACATTTAAAACTGGATATTTCCACCACAGGTACCCACAAAACTGAATGTTTTGCATGTTAGTTCAAAGCTTTAAATGCTTCAAAGGTACTTTTGCTAACTATAAAGCTCTACTTCAATACATTGGTAAGCTTATGAGCTAATGATATTTTAACTTATTAATTCAGCCTCTCCTGTTTGTAGGTTTCTGTGTTGTATAGATTGAAAATCCATAATTTTTTTGACTGTAGTGAAAAAATATACGGCCTTTGTTGATAGCTGGTTTCAGTATGAAAAATGTGTTGATTCAGTGGTTTTTTTATTTTTCAGCTTTTTCCAAGACGGCTTGAAGACGGCAGATAAGCTAAAGCAGTACATTGAGAAATTAGCTGCTGATCTTTACAACGTATGTACCTCATTCTTTAACATAAACGTATTTGATTTGGTAAAACCATTTTAGTTTACTTTATGGATTGGACTTCGCAATAAAATATTTGATCAATATCTGGGTCACATTATAATATTTTTTTTAGTGTGTATTCATTTAAAACTGTTAGTGCAATCTTTTACTTCCTTGTTTATTTTAGAGCTGCATTACACTTCTGTGTTGTGCTCAGTTATATTCTTTCCTAAGATCTTTAGTCAACTAAAAATAATTGTGCATTGACTAATGCATGTTTTTACCTTGCTGGACTTGGACTTGGACAATCATTCATGTGGTCCAGTCTCAAAATATGAAAGTAAAAAATGCAACCACAAATATTAATTCTTAGCATGAAAATATCAAAACCGTATTGCAAAGTGAAATTTTGCAGTGCATTACAATGTCGAGTTTATGTCCTGCACCCCTAATACTGTGTGTGTACGCCTGTGTAACAAGTTATTTTTGCGTTTTGTGTGATGTAGATAAAACAAACACAAGATGAAGAGAAAAAGCAGCTCACAGCACTACGGGATCTTATTAAATCCTCTCTACAGTTGGAACAAAAGGAGGTAGGTGTAGAATGTGGTGTGCCTCAGGGCTCAGTCTTCGGACCAATGCAAATTCTTAATTGCCCAAAACTAGTTTGTAAAAGCCAATCAAGTGACTTGTTTGGGATTAAATTATTCCAAAGTTCGTTACATTTACATATTTACCCCATGTAAATGTAAATATATTCAGTATTTAAAATTCTGTACATATGTAGAATTTTAGTTAATTCTTTAATGGCATGACATCATGCAGAAAGAAACCTGATAAGTTTAATTTTGCTGTACATCTGTGGATCTAATGCATAAAACCTCCCTAATGCTCGACCTGTACAGGGGAGAGTGTGAGAGGGAGTGCCCAGTGCTGTACCATGCTGGTAGCCAGTATGAAATCGGGCTTGCTGGTAACCAGTGTTGTGCCCCACTGGTTGCTCAGAGAAAAGATGCTGACTCTGTCATGCTTAATAAGGAAAATAAATGACAATTAATAAGTAGTTAGTCAATGAATGTTTTATGCGCCAAGTGCTAACACATTGTCATCAGCAAACTCGCATTTAAATACGGTAACATGGTGGGAGACAAGTTTGTAAGTTAGTACAAATCATAGTGTAGTATGCTGTAGTGCATTTAAATGTTTTAACAAAACCAACACATACAGCCTACATTTGCAATGCTTTTCACACCCTCTCTTATGTGTCTTTCACCCGCTTCCTGTGTGGATTGAAGTCTAGAAGAGTAAGTGTTTAGCATGTACAGCATGACGTGTGTATGTGATGGAGATCATTGTGTGTGTGCACAATAAATAAGTGTCTGTCAGATAAAGCTGATGTTTAAAAGGTTACAAATCGGTTGAGAAATATTGAAAAATCTTCATGTATTTTATGAAAATGCTGTGTATACAGTATTTGTTTGGATTGGTGACTGCATATAGCTATTTAAAGCACCATATGTATGTGTATTTGAGCAGGACTCTCAGAGCAAACAGGGTGGCTACAGTATGCACCAGTTGCAGGGAAACAAAGAGTTTGGCAGTGAGAAGAAAGGCTATCTGCTGAAGAAGAGTGATGGGTACACACACACACACACACACCCCAATTAGATGGGATTTCTAATCAATCTGAGTTCTTGCTCTCTGCTATGAGTGGTGTTATGCAGTATAAAATTGTTGTGTTATAGGTTGAGGAAGGTGTGGCAGAGGAGGAAGTGTTCAGTTAAAGGAGGAATTCTTACCATCTCTCATGCCACTGTGAGTAAATCGGACACACTCATGTGATTTACTTGGTTCACTGTAAACCATGTCATCCTATAATCAGGTCTGACATTTACAGTGAAAAGACTTCATCAGCTTTCTGAACTTTGGCTGAATGTCTCCATAACAACCTAGCCATCCCACTGTGTCCCTCTTTAAAGCTAGGGTAGCTACCCTAGACAATTCGACAGTTGTTTTTTTTCCCAGAAGCATTTTTTGTTATACTGGTTGAAAGTCTTTTCACATCCTGATAGCAATCAATAATTAATATTAAATTGTATATAATTTGTAATTTGATATATATTCCATCTTCTGTGGAAGGTCCAGGAGGATAAATCATTGAATTCAGTCCATTTAGTTTAGCTGGTGTGGAAAAAATCAGATTCCATTACAGAAGTACAAGCCAAAATTCAAAGATTGCCAAAATACACAGAGACAGACAATGGGGTAAAACATGGGTAAACATTGCCAGTGTTTTTACTAGAGCCCGACCGATAAATCGTTTTGCTGATATTACCAGCCGATATGAGCCTGTTGCCGATATATCGGTATCGGTGAATATGCCGCCGATATGAAATTTTTTTTACAGAACATATAACGCAGATAAAATGCTTGAAATTGTGTAATTACTTAGTTTGTCCAGCAGAGCGCGCTCAATTGTTTGCTACTGGCGACCTGGATGAAACTCTTTTGAAGCTTAAGTCTATGGAAAACCATTGAAACTTTGAACGGCCATATCTCCGTAACGGCGTGGCGAATCCGCACCAAATCAGGGGATCCCTTCAGCTCGAGGAACCCTCTCGAACGCGAATCGCGCGAGATACAGACACCAGTCAACACTTAGGCTTCTTTTTGGACTTGCAGCGTTCAAGCGTTGTCTTATTTGACCGTAAGTGCCCTGCGAAGTGGACTTCACATGAAATTCTGCCATGATTCCAGTTCCAAGGGAACGTACACATTACATTCAAAGGACATTAAAGTGTGCGAGATGTGAATTTATAATTTTGGTTTGACTGTATCTATTTGATAAATGAAGTTAACCAACTAACGTTATACATACCCTTTTGGTTTCTGTACCCAATATTTAAAAAATGTACAAATGCAATAAAAATATCGGTATCGGCATCGGTATCGGCAAGTACCAAAAATAAAAGTATCGGTATCGGGCGAGTACTGGAAAAAGTGGTATCGGTGCATCCCTAAATATCGGCCATCGGATATATCGATATCAGCCTTTTTTTACTCCCTAATATCGGTATCGGCCCCAAAAAACCCATATGGATTCTCTCTATGGAAACAGGCTCTAGTTTTTACAAGATTGAAGAATTTGATGAAATGTTTGGGTTTCAATCTATACAACAAACTTGCAGAGTTAATCTTGACAGGTAAGCTAAACTTCAAGTTGAAAGTGTTTCTAATATGTTGGACCTTTTAATGAAGAAGTCTACTTTTACCTGTTGAAATATGTTGTAAAAGCAGAAACTGCCTACGCTAGCTTTAAAGGGTTAGTTCACCCAAAAATGAAAAGTTTTACTCACCCTCGAGGCATCCTAGGTGTATATGACATTCTTCTTTGAGATGAATTCAATCGGAGTTATATTAAGAATTGGCCTGGCTATTCCAAGCGTTATCATTGCAGTAGGCGGGTGTTTCTGTTTAACAGTCCAAAACCCATTAAATAAAGTGCATGCATCCATAATAAAGCGTGCCTCACATGGCTCCGGGGCATGAATAAAGGCCTCCTGTAGCGAATCAATGCAGTTTTGTAAGAAAAATATCCATATTTCAAACGTAATAAACACTTTTCTCTCGCCTATGCTGACTGTTATATGCGGAAGCCATTCACTTTATAACAGTTGTGGCCTGTTTAGTTTCTTACTACACTCCTAAACACACTCACTCCTAAACATCAGTACCAGTCAGTCACATTAATAAGCAAAATTTTGCAGGCTAAAAGTCAATTTCCAATAGTTCAGCAATGCATGAAGCACAGCTCACACAGAAGTCACTTTCAAACCAAGCAGCTTTCTTATGGTCAACATGGCAAATCAACAAAACAAAATGACTAGATTTCACCCACAAAATTTTGCTGAGCAATGTAAAATGTGACCACATTTTTAGTTTAACTGAACACTACCAGTCAGCATTGTTAGCATTTCTTTCTGTCTCAGTGTCAGGTCTTGTCCTCACCCTCTACATCATGTCATCAATTTTCATCTTTTCCCCCATGATGTCACTTTCCCTCTTGATAACCTCTGTCTCACATTTCATTGTCAAGTCAAACCATATTCATAACAATCTGGACCAGTGTTATGTAACAAACATATGTGTTGCATTTCTTAACACCCTTTGTTCAGTCATTAGCCTGCCTTGTATCCACATCACTGTGCGAATGAGCCTATATCAGGTTTCTTACAGTCTAATCTCAAACTTCGCAAGCTACTACCAAGTGTTTTGTGAAGATTGTTTCTTTGTAAAAACGAAGGAATGTTAATTTAGTGTTTAAAAATGTGTTATATTGTTTTAAAAGTTCTACTCATTTAGTAATGCAAAAAATGCACTCTGACCCATTTGCTACTACAGGTAAATGCAGTATGAAATGCTGAAAAAAATTAGACTCAAACAAAGATAGCTGTCTAGTGTGTACATAAACCAGAAAAATATAGCGCAGATGGCTTTCTGTTCTGAAAGTACCGCAGGCAGACTGACAAAAAAAAAAAAAAACTGTGGGCTGTAGGCTAGTAATAGATGATTGTCTAACACAATAATATATAATCTTTGAATTAGCTTCATTAGAAATTTTAAATCACTTGAAAGCTCTAGTTAAAACCTTTTCAACACTGTTTGGGATGTTATAGCAGGAATATGAAGTAGTCAAGCATTTCTCCTGTTGTCACATTTCGTTTCAGTCAAACAGGCAGCCTGTCAAACTCAACCTGCTCACATGTCAGGTCAAGCCCAGCACTGAGGACAGGAAGTGCTTCGATCTCATTTCCCGTGAGTCAACAGACACCAACAGGGAGAATTTATTTTGTGGGAAACCACATGAGTGATTTAGTAGCTTAGTGTAATATGTTTGTTTACTTTACCATACTGAATCTTGGAAGAAATTTGTCAAACTTAATTTTAAATAATTGTCTTATTGCACCATTAATGTGATTTATGATTTTAATACTATCTTCTGGTGTTCAATTAGTGGAAATCACTTAATGTTTATGCAGATGGCTCATATTTTATTTGTCATATGTTTCAGATAACCGCACATATCACTTCCAGGCCGAAGATGAGCAGGAATTTATGATGTAAGACTTATTTTGTTTTGTTTTTTTTAACCACTTTGCATCTGTAAGTCACAAACTTGTAATATAACTTCTCTGTAAATGGAGTGATCACTAAGAATTATTTATATGCTGATTATGGGATATCCTTATGAACAATTACAGCAATCTGCCTAGCGGTGAAGACAACTTTGCTTCTCTGTGACTAGATTGTACTATTTTTATGGCAAACTAATATCGTAAAAAGAGTTTGAGATTTGAACTCTAAAGCGTTTGCTTGATGGTTTTTGCGTGTCCGTGTGGTGAGAAGTCTGTGAAGTGGTGTTCAATTGTTTTAAGTTGGCACTTACTCATTGAGGTCACTAACACCACAATGACATTTTCCAGACTCCTTTAGACACAAACATTCTCACAAAAAAAGCATCTACCATCTCATAGCATGTCTTAAGTATTTTTAACTACTGGATTTGCTTCTTACCTACACTGCTGTGAGCTCCCTGCTGTCCATCAGAGAACTCCCTGACTGAGCCATTTTACAGCCATTATAGGGCTCTTAAAAGCACAGAGGCTGATCAGAATGAGAATGAGGCCCTATAACCCCTTTATACGTCAGTCCTGCAGTCCTTTCACCTCGACTTTGACTGGAGTCTCTTTTAAAAGCCAAAAGCCGATCTCATCATCTAGCTAACAAGGAGGCATGGCATGCTTTTGAGCTCAGTGAATCGGTCCATTTAAAAACAAATCTTATTTAGGAAACAATGGCAAAGGGACAAAAGCAGAAAAATGAATAAGAGGGTCTGAAAGAAGGGCTTAAATGTTGCTTTAGCATTTAGCTGTTGTTTTTAAGGTAATACACCGGCTGGCTGGGGCATTGGTATTTCAGCATTACATGGCAGAGTGTTTTAAGACAGCTTGTCAATTTATAAATAGTCCATCTTTTGTTATGCAGCACTTCAGTGTCAGTTTTAAAACAATGGACCGATCAGAAGCAGCAATTTATGTTTAGAGGGTTTACAGTAGCAACTGTGTACAGTTATCATGCAATTAAAATATACATTATTCACTTTCCTAATACATAAAACTCTAAATAAAAGAAGGAGAGTGTTTCTTGTGTTGTTTTGTTAATGTGTTTCTGCCTCTACAGATGGATCTCAGTGTTAACTAACAGTAAGGAGGAGGCGCTTAACATGGCCTTCAGAGGAGAGCAGGGTGGAGGAGATGATGGGCTGGAAGATCTCACTAAAGCCATAATAGATGATGTGCTGCGCATGCCCGGAAATGAAGTGTGCTGTGATTGTGGGGCTCCAGGTGCATATCTGTCTACCTGTCTGTCTAAAAAGAAAATAACAATAAAATTGTCTGTCTGGTAAGGTTACTCTGCCTCATTTGACTCTCTCCTCTCAGGTCTCCACTCAATCTGTCCTCTTTTTTTTGAATCCCTATTTCTGTTTCTCTCACTGTAGCGCTGTTACATCACTCTCTTATGTAATTGGCTCATGCAAGCTGTGCTGAAAGTTCTGAGAGGGCGGCTGCTGCTCCAGGGATTATTTGATCAGCCTCTTTCACATTCATTGTTTTCTCTCTCTGCGAGAGGATAGAGATGTGGCCCAGGACCTTTTTACTTGTTTTAATTTGTTATTACAGTTTTACCAGCTGTATGGTACAGTTTTACCAGTCAGGTTTACAAGGGAAAATATTTTTGATGCTTTACTGTTAGATGACCAGTCGTGTGAGAATAAAGGCCCGTTCCAGGGAAATAACTATCAATAACTATTAAGTTCGTATTGTTCTAATTCTAAGTCCACATCACAACTATAACAATAACATTAATAAACAAAAATGTTAACGTTGGTGTTGACACTAATATAGCTATCGTCATTGGTGTGAACGGTCCTTTCATTTGATTGCATTACGTATGAGATGCACTAGTCTGAATAGAGTACATGCAAGTTGGATTATGTTGTTGTACAACAACTGTGCTGGGAGATTGTTAGTGTATTGCTACATTGCTGTGTGGTTGCCAAGATGTACTGGGTGGTTTATATATATATATATATATATATATATATTTTGGGGTTTGAGTCACAGATCGGACTATTTTTTCGGATAAGCAAGAAAAAAAAAATATTTAAAGCACAGAGAATGACAATGCCATGAAGGGTTTTTGACATAGGCTAATTTTATGTGTATACGCAACTCGGTTATTTCCGCGCTGTCTGAAAAATGTCTGTGCTTGTGTGCGAGAACAGCGCGCGAGTAACGAATTGAGCTCTCTTTCGTTTCTTCTTCTTGTGGTTTAAAATTGCTTGTACCTGTAAATTGGCAAATTCATCTGCGAATCACGTACGTGCCGAACGGTAGGGTCTCATCCGTACGCATTACGGATCAACTGCGATCCGTTAACTCCTAATATGTGACAGATCCGAGCAATCTTTCATTTACTTAACATGAAATTGTCAAATTTCTACTCCATATCAATTGCATACAATGAAAATACAGAATAATTAGAACAGTCATTAACATAAATAAATAACAGAGTGTTATATCTATACACATTTTTCCCAGAACGTTCTTGCGACCCGGTTGCAATTCTTCCACGGCCCGGTAGTGGGTCGCGACCCGGTGATTGGGGACCTCTGGCATAGACTATGTGGGATGAGTATGCATCATAGTTGCATTATATTCCTTTTTTTAAAATGAACCATTCTTGTGAACTGACTCATTGATTCATGGGCTTATAAATGAAGTTTAGGAAGCTTTAGGTGATGACTGTGTAAGAGGCTTATTGAGCTGTGTTGAGCTGTTATTCAGCTCCTCAGCTGAGAGCTAAACATTCTAATCTGTGTCAAGGTGCATGACTCCTTGCACGAGCAAGTCTGTTTGAAAACAGGTTGCTTTAATGAAACGCTTCTTAGACAGATGAATGAATGTATTTGATGCTGACTGATTGTGTCTGGAAGAGAAGAAATAATCTACAAGTACATCTGGTATTTACTGATCGTGCAAAGAAAGCTGCTGGAGAAGACCTGAATCTATATTTAGCTGCTGTGTGTGTGTCCTCTTATCTTTGACGCCCTGTCACTGGTTCTGCTCAGGGGACGTCACTGGCGCTCATGGAGCCACAAACACACTTGCCGCCAACGCTAACGCACAAACAGTTCATGTCATATTCTCATTCAAACACCGATAACATTGCACTCTAAATTAAACTCCATTCAGTATTTACCATTCCATCTTGTAGAACATTCAAACTATGAGTCCAACGAGGACCCCTTGTGGTAAAAATGTGTTTGTTGCTTTTCCTTGTTTCCTTGTTTTTTCATGTTTTTTTTTTTTTTTCTGTTTTCAGATCCCAAATGGTTGTCGACTAACCTTGGAATCCTGACTTGCATCGAATGCTCAGGCATTCACCGGGAGATGGGCGTCCACATCTCACGCATCCAGTCTATTGAGCTAGACAAACTGGGAACCTCTGAACTCTTGGTGTGTTCAATAGTGCAAACATTTTCTTTTTAAACACAGTATAGCATGGGTCTTGACTGGGGATCCATAGGGTTTGTGTGTCAGTACTGCAGAGGGTATGCCAATTATTGTTTGATCACAAATTAATTTATGTGACAAAAAATGTAGCCAAATTAAGTTTAACCAAAGCTAAAGAAGCTAAAGTTACGCCGTATGCTTCATTGTCCTTACTACATTAAAATGTATCAAGTAAAATTAAATTTGTATGTGCAAGACTCTTATGAGTATCCTTTTATTATCATTAACTAAAACATTTTTGTGAACTGAAATTAAGCTAAAATAAAATATAAATATTAGATGAAAAAACGTTGCTAAATGAAAATGAGAAAAGTTGGCTTGGCAAATTTAATTTAAAGCCATACATTACTAACTGGAAAATAAACTAGCACTGAAATAAATATACATTAAAACTAAATAAATAATAATAACACAGATTACTTAATTACTAAATGTGACTAAAAAAATGTTCATTCAAAATCTTCTTTAAAAAAGCTATTATAGTATATAAGTATTAATAACATTCTTTTTATTTCAATGGTTCAATGGTTTTGCCATGCAAGAAGCATCATAGCCAAGTGCAAGCATTAGGGATGTGCATCTCCATAACTGAGGCTGATGCGATGTGCATCTCAATGCATAGCCAAAGATACGATACATTAAAGATACATATGAAGCAGCTACCGATGCAGTGCGAGCCGATTTTGATTCGATTCAACACAATGCGGATCAATGCAATATGATGCAATGGAAAAAATCTGATGCTATGCAATTCAATATGGTACATATAGTTTGATTTTATTTTTTTGGTTCATTATAATTATTTGGTGGAAGATGCAGCTCTACCTCTGCCATGTAAATCTATATTCTATGTGACTGTCAGGACACGCCTCTCTCTCCGTAGTGTTGTGATACGTCATATTCACACAGCAGTGGCGATGAGAGAACTCGCTTGACAAACAGTTTAGAGGAGAAATCATTCTACATATAAAATATAGGTCACAAATTATTGGTCACATTCTAATTAATAAAAGTATAGCGCATCTTCTAATAATTATTAGGGCTGTGAATCTTTGGGTAGACAGCGATTCGATTCACTATTCATAGGTTTTTGATTCAATTCAATTAGAACGATTCGATTCTGTATTCTTTAAGTGCATTCACAGGATTATTTAAATGCTTCCCCTAAATTCTTTAAATGCTTAGTCAGGGGGCAAATTACACAGCAGCCTTTATGGTTACAGAACCATAGGTTAGAGAAAAAAAAAACACTTTTGTCCATTGGTAGATAGTTTAATGATGCTATGGCATGACATGGCATACGTAAAAATGTATGTAAGCCAAGATTTAAAAAAACAGCTTTAAAAGTATTATGTATAGGCTAACATTTTGTCACACCAGGGGTGCTTTTTATTCAGATTAGCTGCAGATATAGCCTGGCACGTCTTAAGTTCTATGAGCGCCAGATCAATTCTCTTTCAGTGCGAAAACTTCTTTAACTTTTCCTCTCCATTGGCAAATGATGATTCTGAAAGAAAATGTGCCCAATGTCTGTTTCGTGCATCTGATTATCAGATAAACCAGCCTTCGACTGCTCAGGTAATGTCGTCGGTAAGATGCCGAGAGCCATTGAAAAACTACAGAAACGTAAAACTACTTCACTTTAGCATTACTGGCCATGAGTACTAAGGTGTGATCACACATCAGCTGCTCAAAAAATATGTCAGTGAGACGAACGGAGCGCGAGCGCAATCCTGTGACAGTCACAGGCGGTTAGTGGAGCGCGTGAAGGAGAGGTGTTCAAGGTCTCCATTAATTCGTGCTTGTAGTAATTTAATGTGTATGTATTTTGAAAGCATTGAATCGCTATGGAAATCGCGATTCGTTCGATTCTTAGCGTTTTAAATCGATTACTGTCCGAAATCGGCAATTCACGATTCAAAAATCATGTTTCAAGATCGATGCATATGCATCGTCAGGGTTTGTAATCGATGCATCGATAAAACGAGTGAATCGTTACACCCCTAATAATTATATATTTTACCAATGCAAATATGTTAAAACGATGCATCGCAATACAGTGCCAACTTGTATCCGATGCACACTCTTTTAAATCAATGCATTGTATCGTTAACTTTTATGCCTATGCACTGATGCAAATTGGTGAATCTTACCATTCCTAGTATGCATGTTATTACAGGCCAAGCTTAAAATGCAACACAAAAAATAGACCTTGGCCCAACACTTTAGTATAGCAATAAAAACATATTTCACATAGAAAATTTGGGGTCAGTTCATTGGAACCATGGCTGTCTACATATTTCATGATTATTAATTTATTTAATCATATTTTTAAGTATTAGATATATTATAATTTATGCATAATTTATTTTGTTTTATTCTATTCTTTGCTTTCAGCTGGCCAAGAATGTGGGAAACAGTAGTTTTAATGAAATAATGGAGGGAAATCTTCCTTGCCCCTCTCCTAAACCCACTCCTGGTAGTGGCATGTAAGTATGCATGGCAAATGTAAAAGTGAATTATCATATTATATTTTAGTTTTCCAGTGTGATATTATATTATATTTTAGTTTTCACATTTTTTAATGTTTTGGATATTAATTTGAAATCCCTGTCTTTTAATTCGATCTTAGGACTGTTCGTAAGGAGTTTATCAATGCTAAGTATGTAGATCATAAGTTCGCAAGAAAAACCTGCAGCTCAGCAGCAGCCAAGATGAGTGAGCTATTTGAAGCCGTCAGGTCACATGACCTACTAGCTCTCATCCAGGTGTATGCTGAGGGGGTAGAGCTTATGGAACCACTACCTGAAGGAGGACAGGTGAGTGACAGCATGTAGGTGTAGTAACTAGGACAGTGGGAAAATAGGCTCACTTTTTCATTCACCATTTCATTTTTCATTAAAAAAATTAAGTGGTCCCTGAAAGCAAACATACTGCGCATTCTAGGAGGAGATAGTAAGTCCACAGGTACAGAGTGTATACACCCTAACTATCACATGACATGATGGATGAGTGACCCATGCACATCAGAGTCTTTGAGCACAGATTTTGAGGTCTGGTGAATATCAGAAAGCAGACATGCTGAACGTGACTTGAATCCTCTGCCTTGATCTTCTCCCAGTTTTCCGCACTGAGAGTCTTTTCGTTCTAATGAGTTTGGTAATGCTGCCACCGTCTCAGAGATAAACAGCTGCTTCTGAGTGGGTGCAGTTGCAAAAACATCTCAAATGATCTCTGTTTCACTTTTTATGATGTAGCCTCTGGCCCGAGCATGAGATGACTGGTTTATCTTTTGTTGAATCCTCAAACATGAAGCAGTGACCATGGCCATGTCAGAGACACTATTAGCCAGATATTTTAGTGGATCTTCATCAACATTACATAACACAATTGATGTTGCTATTTTACATTACTATTCAGTAGTCAGTAAGATTTAAAAAAGAATCACTGCATTTATTTTATTTGATCAAAAATACAGTAAAATTGTAAAATATTATAACATTTTCACATAACTGTTTTCTATTTTATTGCATGTTGTTATTGTCACATAATCCTTCAGAAATCAATCTGATGTGCCAGTTTGCCACTCAAAAACATTTATTATTATTATTATTATTATTATTATTATTAAAAAGCTATGTCCTGCTATATTTTATATAAATATTTTTGTGGTCTTTATGTATAAATATGTTTAAGAATAATAAAAATAATAAGAAGAAGAACATTTTAGTTTATTTAATAAACAGATTTTTTCTTTCTCTTTTTAATGCAATTTAAAAATTAAAAGTTGATATAAGTTGAAATAAGTAATAAAAAAAAAAACAATTGAATTAGTACACAGAATTAGTGAATTAGAACCCCTCAGAGGACCTCAGATGATGCCAACCCTGAAACAACATACAGAACTACCAAATTTTGCTATAAGTTTGATTGCATCATATAATAATTGCTGTTAATAGTGTTCATCGTCTGTTTGATTACGTCTTTAATTGATTTTTCCGTACATTTCTGCCATATGTACATGAACTGACAGTCACCACTGATAAGCTGCCACTAGATATTGTAGAAACTTAAAGGGGTCATATGATGCTTTTTTAAAGATCATTATTAGATATGTGGGGGCGTGTTAGAACGAGCCGTTTTAGGGGGGCGTGGCAGAGTCTTAACTTTGATAAAGAATATCTCTTTGGTTTTGAGACTTTAGTCTTTGCAACTTCAGGGATCTTATCTATGCACAATCAGCTTGTAACACTCCAAAGAGAAAGGAAAACTTGAAATCGCATCATATGACCCCTTTAATTTTCTGTAAAGTTGCTTTGCAACGATTTGTATCGTGAAAAGCGCTATACAAATAAACTTGAATTGAATTGAATTGAAATAATAGATTGTCTTCATTATTTTATTTGTTATCCTTCATAATAAGTCAAGAGACAGTTATTACGAGAGTAAATGGGTTAACAAATGTTTTTTTTAAATGTGTGCTTCTGTGTTATAGGAAGGAGGAGAGACTGCATTGCACTATGCCGTGAAGACAGCTGACCACACCTCACTGCACCTGGTCGACTTCCTTGTCCAGAACAGGTATGGAACATCCGCTTATAACCACAAAAACTGGGAGGACACACTCCTGGCCATGTTTTTATTATCAATTTTCAGTATTTTAGATTCGTTTTAGGCAGTCACCTCTTTGTTACGTTCCATCACCATTATCTTTAAGAGCTTAATGATTAAACAGGATGAGTTTTTAATGTGTTTTTTTCTTAGGATGGCATGTGTACGAGCACCAGAACTCTTGAAGGGATTATTATGCAGATAATAGTGTAATTTAAGTTCAGCTTTAGCTCAATTTGCTCTCTGCTGTGTGGATTAAAGTTACATAACAGTATTAGAAGATCAGGTCATGCCTGAGCCAGGACTACTCTTGGCTCACATCCTAGTAAATAATCATAATTCGATTTCCCTGAGAACTGGAACACTGAAACGAATCCAGGTTTGCATTAAAGGTTGACTCAAAAGAAATATGACGGCATAAGGGAAGTAAATCCAACCCAGACAGCTGGGATTGTTTTATTTTCATTTTTTGGACAACATGGCTCACTCCACTTTAACTCCACTCCAGTTTTTCCATTCCTCAATTCTCACTTCCTCCCTGATTACATTTGAAAGATATCGTGCTCCGAGTTCTTTCCATGGCAGCATTTCTACTGTGATAAATTTAGTATTAGGTGAGACAATGTTTTCTCAATTTCTGTTTAGTTGTAAGGGTGATTATTATGATTATGTGATATTAATATTTATATGAATATATTATATTATATTCATATACTACTTAAAAAGTTTGGGGTCAGTAAAATGTATGCTCACCAAGACTACTGTACATTTATTTGATAAAAAAATCAGTAAAAATAGTAATAATAAATCTAAGAAATATTAAAATCAATATTGCTTATTCTATTCTAATTCATCCCTGATGACAAAGCTGTATTTTTAGCCGCCATTACACCAGTATTCAGTGTGTCATGAACCTAATTAGCCGATTTGGTGGTCAAGAAACATTTATTATTGATGTTGAAAACCATTATGCTGCTTAATATTTTTACGGAAACTGATACTTTTTTCAGGATTCTTCAATAAATGGAATGTTCAAAAGAACATTATTTATTTGTTTAGTCAGTGTCACTTGATTTTGATGCATTCTCGCTGAATAAAATTTATTAATTTCTTTATTTCAAAAACATTTTTACTGACCTCAAACCCTTTGAACTGTTATGTACTACTGTATGTGGAAGGAAAATATTTTTTCTCTATACATGTCTTTGTAAATTCCACAATGAATCTTCTGTTTTCTCCACACTCATGTCCACCAGTTGTGTCTTTAATATTTGCTAAACATTTAGAATGTTTTCTCATTGTCTTTCCAAAATTGTTGCAAATTCCTTTTTATTTCATTTGGCAGCTGACAGTCTACTAACACACAGTAGATTGGCTGACATGCAGTTGCATTATGGGCATTAATGTGTTTTATGGTATTGAAGCAATTAAGAACACAGATGCTCCTTTCAACTTCACTGCAGTAATGCACTATCCTGACACATAATATCAAAAGTAATCTTTATGTATGTATTTATAGGTGAACATTCACATATTCATTGACAGCACACAGAAATATGTTTGATACACCAATTAAGAATCCCTATGCAGAATCAAATGAACACTGATACTGGGCAAAAATATTTTGTGTTCAAATGTGGAAAATAACATTATCCTTTCAGAACTTTGACCCTGAATCCTACAGTGTTGCAGTGATCACTACAGAAAATGTTCAAGATGAACTTCAAACTGGGTCAGAGAAATATATGAATTTGTTCTCGGAGAGCAGGGATATAGTGGTTTAGATGTGTAGCCTGTTTTTTTCCTTTGCTGTGATTTCCACTAGGTAAACAGAACTGGGTCATTCACTTGCTCTCTCCCCATGTGTGCTGTTTAGTCACTGCTGACCCAAATCCAGAAGTGTGAAGTGGCTCATTAAGAGTGAAAATCTTGTTAATGTCAGCCTCAATTACAGATTTGAATTGCATTAAAAAGCACTTTGGAGATGATGATTTTGTTAACATGTTAGCAGTACCACATAACACATAGTTTTGTGCCAAAATTGCTGCAGGTTGGTTTTAATACGTGTCTTTAATAATACAATAAACTCTTATATGTCAGAAGATCAAGGAAAATTTGATTCCGTATGTCTCTGTCTCCAGTGGGAATCTGGATAAACAGACGGAGAGGGGAAACACAGCCCTTCACTACTGTTGCCTGTATGAGAAACACGAATGCCTCAAATTACTGCTGAGAGGCAAACCAGCTACTGATATCAGTGAGTTACACATGCATGTGTGGTTTTACCCGATTTACTTCTTTACCTTTCACCAAATATACTTATGCTTTAATACTATGCTTAATTATATAAATACATGTACATATAAGCATTCACAATATATCATTACATATATGTACACACACACATATATAAAATTGACCATATACTATTCTTATATACTATAATTGATTATACGGTGCTTGCATAATTATTATGCAAGTTGATATTCTGATCATATTTTTTTCCCCAAGCACATTTGACCAATTTCAAAGCAATGAGCATTTCGCTGTCCAGTGGTCATGCCTTAACTTTGCAGTTATTAGTATTGCATTATTATTATATGTATTGCATCCTTCTCATGGGCATTTAATAATTTTTTACTTTTCGGTCTGAGTTAAATCTCTTATTTTTTGGCTCATTTTATCTGTAAAAGAAAACCTGCTTAATTATGCACACCTGAATATAAGGCGTTTTTCACTTCCGTCCTTCATGGACAATTATATATAATTTATAAATGATTAAAGACTAAATCTATAGTAGTTATTAAAATTGATGTAGTTTGGAATTGGTAAAATGTACTTGGAAAATAAATATGATCAGAATATCAACTTGCATAATAATTATGCAAGCACTATATATATATATATATATATATACACAGTCGTGGCCAAAAGTTTGGGCAGTGACAAATTTTGTGTTTTGCAAAGTTTGCTGCTTAAGCTGTTGTGGTGTTCATTCACATTGTTTCTAGATTATTGTGTAGAGTGATCAGATGCATTTTAAACAATTGCTAAAAGCTTCATTGGCCAAAAAAACTTTTCACACAAAAAAAAAAGTTTTTTGATTCTGATAATTTTCAGCCAGTTTTTTTACATGTATTTTTTTATTATTCATTATTTAGATTTTTTAGAAATGTTTATTAATTTTTCATACTATAATTTATAATGTTGTGATGCTTAAATGCATTTGTGGCATTCAATATTTTTTAAATATATTTTTTTTTATTTCAGATTTTTTGTGTTTAGACAAAATAGTCTAAAATTATAATATTGGCCATCTATGTGTTATTGACAGTACCATAAAAATATAATAATTGTCAGCTTATCATATCAGCCAGAATCCTTGCTTACATATACTCTATATATACCAACGCTTAACCACCATGTTTCATGGTAAACATTATGTATAATTTCTGGTTAACGTGTGTCCTTATGTTTCAGCCAATCAGAATGGAGAAACAGCTCTGGATGTGGCCAGGCGGATGAAGATCATCCAGTGTGAGGAAGCGGTGAGTAACTTGTGGGTCAGATGATTCAATCCTTCCTTTGGAAACTCTTTAACGGCTCTGAATACATGTCCATCATGATATAAGAACAATAGGGGACAGCAAAGATGTGGCTCCAGGGTGTTAAGATGTGGTTGTTTTTGAAGATCTGACTCATATTTGTGTATGTGTGTATTTTAGCTGGTACAAGCCGCTGCAGGAAAATTTAATCTTAAAGTCCATGTGGAATATGAATGGAATCTCAGATTGGAGGAGCTTGATGAGAGTGACGATGATCTGGATGACAAAGTAACACATTCTCCCTTGAACCTATAATAACCAACCTTTCTGGACTCACAGACTGAATGATTTTCTCATTGTTTTTCATTCCCAGCCCAGTCCAATTAAGAAAGATCGTTCTCCCCGGCCGCAGAGTTTCTGTCACTCATACAGTCTGTCTCCTCATGACAAGCTCTCTCTGCCTAGTTTCACTGGCCAGCGTGATAAACAGCGCCTGTCATATACTGCACACTCCAATCAGATGTACAGTGTTTCTACCGACTGTCCGTCCTTTCCAGTCTCAGATGCCCCACCTCTGCCTCCTAGGAATGCAGGCAAAGGTAACCCAGAATCCAATCAAATGTTTGAGCATAAAACTTGTTCTAACAATCTTGCCCATTCCATAAATAAATATATTAATTTATGTTATAAATACTGTTTACATTCATAAAAGCTATTTATTTAATGTATTCAGATGTAGTCATATGTATTAATCCAGTTCTTTGCATCTGTAGCTTTAGTTCAGTTTGTAATCCTAAAACCTGTACAGTCAACTAAAAAAAAAAAAACTAACAAATATGTTTTTTTTTTAATCTGCTTTCTGTTGCTTAGCACAGACACTAGCTGGGTTTACTTTTCCATTTGATACTTTTGTTTATGGTTTAACTTTCTTATATGTCATAGTATTAATAGGCAAACCTATGTAAAATGTCATCCAGTCTTTTTCCATCTTTTTCTTTGTTCTCGCTCTGTATTTTTCTCTTTTTCTCGTCTCTTGCAGCTCCTTCTCTGGCTTTCCTTGGCTCTCATTCCCACTATGCTACTCTGGCTAGCACTCGACCATACATCAGTGACTATATTTTTTTATTTGCATAAACCTCTCCTGCTTATTTAATCTATTTAATGACCTTATTCTGTGATCGTACAGCTGTGTCTGACACTGAAGGCTGCTGCATCATAGTGAACAATATTTTTATATGAAAGTACACTACCATTCAAAAGTTTGGGGGCAGTAAGATTTTTAAAATAAATAAATACTTTTAAATAGCAAGGACAAATTAAATTGATCAAAAGTGACAATAAAGACATCACATTGTAATGTTACAAAAGAGGTCTATTTCAAGTAAATGCTTTTCTTTTAAGCTTTCTATTCATTAAAGAATCCTGAAAAAAATATATTTCTTAAAAAATATTAAGCAGCACAACAGCAAAAAAATTTTCTTGAGCACCAAATCAGCATATTATTAGAATGATTTCTAAAGAATCATGTGACACTGAAGACTGGATTAATGGCTGCAAAATAAAATTTTATAATATATTAAAATAGAACAGTTATTTTAAATTGTAATAATATTTCACAATATTCTGTTTACTCTATTGTTGATCAAATAATTGTAGCCTTAAAGTGTAATTCGTGGAAGTCGTGGCCTAATGGTTAGAGAGTCGGACTCGTAACCCAAGGTTGCGGGTTCGAGTCTCGTACCAGCAGGGATTGTAGGTGGGGGGGAGTGAATGTACAGCGCTCTCTCCCACCTTCAGTACCACGACTGAGGTGCCCTTGAGCAAGGCACCGAACCCCCAACTGCTCCCCGGGCGCCGCAGCAAAAAATGGCTGCCCACTGCTCCGGGTGTGTGTTCACGGTGTGTGTGTGTTCACTGCTGTGTGTGTGTGTGCACTTTGGATGGGATAAATGCAGAGCACTAATTCCGAGTATGGGTCACCATACTTGGCCACATGTCATGTCACGTCACTAAAATGAAAAAGCGGTCGATGATATATGAATTCATTTCAGATTATTTGAAAATGTTCAAGAACAAATTGAAATGAGCTTTAGAAATACGTTTGTTAGTTAAAAAATGTAACAATAATAAATTAACATCATAGGTGGTGAATATATATGCTGACAAGATAAAAGCATTTTAGTAATTTGGATTTGGATGTACCTTCTAGATGCTGCACATTTCTGGTTTTGGACTATACAGTCGCTCAAACCACCACTGCATCATGGTCACAAACACTTTTTATATGAAAGCAGACTAATCAGATTCAATACATCTAATTGACTTTTCACTTGATGATTCTGCTGCAGTTCATCATAATTAGTAAATAGATGATTTGACTTTCCTTAGTAACAACTAAAGTGCAAAATTTGCTGAAGTTGTTAAATTGCTGTGTTTGCTTGTGCCTCATCCTTTTCCTGGTCCTCTCTGACTGAGCTTTCCACTGGCTATTGACTGTCTTTTTAAAATATGTAATGCAGAATAGATTGTTCTTCCATTTTCTCTTTCATTGAAATGGGAATAAATCTTACTCGACTTTTTTGTGGTGTCTTGATGTCCTTCTCCAATTTCATCTAGTTGTCTCCACTTCCACTTTACGTTCTACTTACCTGGCCTGCTTCAGTTTCAGGTCATTTTAGTTTTAATTAGTTTTAGTCACCGACCCCCCCACCCCTCTCTCACACACCCCGCTCAGTAAAGGTGGGCTATACGTTGTTAGTCAACAACCCTAGGCTGAATTACAAACTGTTTCTGGTTTTTATTTTTGTCCAGGGTTTCATTTACTCAGATCCACATAGAATAGATTTGATTTTTCCATTAATGTAAGACGTTTTCAGTGGAAACACCAATTTAGTTGCTTTTAAATTAAATTATAGCAAGAAATTTTGGTTATTTTCAAATGAATCCTTAGTACCTGTTTTTACCATCCCCAGGCTTCATGCATTTACTTTTGGTTTAGTCTCTACAATATATTACCAGATCATTTTCATCCCATTCATTCTGTGGTGTCATTACATGCTAAACTCCAGAACATGTTAACTATGAAAACCAATATTGAAAGGACAATATTGTCAATGAAAGGCTCAGCCTAATGACCCCATCCCTAACCTTTTGATCTCTGCATTATACCCTGCCCCAGTGATTTGCATGTTTCTTGCCATTTTGGGTAATGACAAAAAAAAAAAAGCCATGGCAAATTAATGGTCTGGGAGTTATTAATGGGAGAAAGACATACTGTTGATATAACCTATATAAATTATATTTTTGGTTGAAATAATAATCACATAATTTAGGATGCATAAGACCATTATTGTGCATGGTCTGGTGCTAATGTGTTACCTTTCTGCTGTATCGCAGCACAATAGTCATAATAAAGTTTGCTTTGCTATACTGAGTTTATACAAAGCCATAAAGTGACATTTGCAGAAAGAATTCCTGGAGATTTTCATGTGTACACAAACTTCTATGTGGAAAACATTTGCATATACTTAAATGCATTTTGGTTGTACGCTACAGTACACTACAGTTCAAAAGTTTGGGGTCAGTATTGTATTTATTTTTTTCAACTATTGTGTAACTATTTTCAACATTGATAAGAAGAAATGTTTCCTGAGAACCAAATCAGAATGATTTCTGAAGGATCATGTGACACTGAAGACTAGAGCCATGGCTGCTGAAAATTCAGCTATGCCATTACAGAAATAAATTGCGTTGAAAATTCTAATAACATTAAAATAGATAACAGTTATTTTAAATTGTAATAACATTTCACATTATTACTGTTTAATGTATCTTTGATAAAATAAATGCAGCCTAAAATAATTTCAAAAAATTTAAAGGGGTCACAGCTTGTAACACTCCAAAGAGAAAGGAAAACTTGAAATCGCATCATATGACCCCTTTAAATAATCTTACTGACCTCAAACTATTTTAACATTTTTTTTTGTCTCAAAAAAGCCTGCAAATGTCATCTTAGCAGCTCTATAGGCTTTTAAAAGCAGAGACATATATTTAAGAAATTAGTTAATTTGTTATGACATTCACAGTACTTCACAGTATAATGTTCACTGTACAACATTTCAGGAAGTGATTCAACACCGCCTCCTCTCAACAAGATGTCTCCTGTAACTAACAGATTTGAGGGTATCCCACAACAGCAAAGGTGATCCAACATCCTTTAAGTTTCAATGTAGCAAATAAAACAGCCTGAACAAAACTGATTCAGAATTAAATTCACACAAGCAAGTTGAAATCTTTTGCAATGCTTATATAGCGATTCTGTTGAACTATTTTTAGAACTATATTTGCATTAGAAAGGTCAGCAAACTTTAGACTGCAAATTTATACTTGGCCTTTTGTGCTTCATTTGAATAGGTCCATGTAACTTTGTCATCATGTATTTGGGAATGCAAAACAGTTCCATTTTATACAGTATGGCTGGTTTTACAGAGCGTGTAAATATGATATAATCGGGCAATGCTTTGAGGCTTACATATGTTCTTTATTTCTAGTCTCAACACCACAAAGACCACACTTGGTCCACGGGTCCTTCCCAAACTACCGCAGAAGGGTAGGTGACATGCTTTCTGCTTTTGAATGTTGCAGTGGTACGTCTGAATGATGAAATAAAGTACATTCCATTAAGTAATTAATTTAGGTATTCATGAATAATCACACGTGTATAGTTATTGGCATTCACATATGTATTTTTATTTAATTTAGTTTGTATTAAGCTCACAGTGTATCTTTTCCAACCCACTATTACAGTACAGTTAGATGTATAACTTAAAGAGAAACAATTACAAATTTCACATCACAAAAAATATCCTTACAAACCCCAGTGTACAGTGACGAGGAGAAACTCCATTAAAAGATGCAGCAAGCAAGAGCATTTATTCTAAGTATTTCAGCAAAAATTATTCTTGAAATTTTTACAGCACAAAAAAGGAGACATGTTTTCTTTTGCCAATTTCTACTCTACGTTTTTTTTTTAAACCTGACCCAACGTCTTGCTAGTGAGGGAAATGTTTCTTCATATTTGTCTTCTGAAATTGTCTAGAAATATATAAAAAATTAGCCAAAAACACATAACAGCATTGTTTTGTTTTTCAATAGTTGCCCTGCGTAAGATAGACACCATCCATCACCCATCTATGGACAAAACCAACCAGCCTCCTGAACCTGTCCTGTTCCAGAAGATTCTGCATAGTTCAGACACCCCACAGAAAGTCGCGTTAGCCGATAGACCTCAACCTGGAGATATACCTCCTAAACCACAGCCTTCAGAATTACCCCCTAAACCAGGAGAACTGCCTCCAAAGCCACAGCTATCTGACCTTCCCCCTAAACCCCAGTTGGGTGATCTACCCCCTAAACCTCAGCTGAAAGATCTCCCGCCCAAGCCTCAACTGACAGACATCTCCCCACCCAAACCTATAACCACTGAGGTCCTCCACAAGCCTCCACCTGGAGATGTGGCTCCCAAGCCCCAACCACCAGATACTCCAACAATCATCCAACCAACTGAACTGTCTCCTCAACCTGTCCAGTCTAGCGAAGACACCAATGGAAGCCCAGCATCTGCACAAGAGACGCCTGTACCATTGCCCAGGAAAATAAATCCGGTAAGGACTTAGTCACCGAAGCTTTGGAAAAATACATTCAGGTATGTAACGAGCTGCTTTCAACAAACTATCTTACACTATTTGTATTGCTTTCTGTCAGATAAAGAGTAAAATGCGGAGGGTGAAGACTATCTACGATTGTCAGGCAGATAATGATGATGAGCTCACTTTTGTTGAGGGTGAGGTCATTGTAGTAACTGGGGAAGAAGATCAGGAGTGGTGGGTAAGTGTAAAAACACCAAATTTTCAAGCATGTACACCAAAGCATGAGACTGAAGAATCCAAAATTCTACATTCTGATTGATTAACAGACATTCCAACATGTTCCATCAATGTTCTTTGAAATAGTTATTCATGTTTTTGACCCCATTATAGTTCCTTATCACATATTACCTCATTTTGATTATGAAACGAAATGCCCAGGAGTCTACTGTATTAATGAATGCAACTTTCACACGCATCTGATGGTCCATGCACCATGCATGCTTTTTTTGTGAGAATGTTGTCATTATTTCTGCACAAATTTGCTGAAAAATTCTCTGTCAATAAATGCTTTTTCTAGCATATTACATTACAAAAACAGTATTTTCTTGTTCCAGAACCTGTCCAAAAGGTTACTTGTTAGAACAAAAAAGGATGGCTTATAACCTTTTTTCTATAGGTCTAATGAGTGTATATTTTAATAATTAGCTTTGAAAATAACAGTAAAGTGTAATCAATTATTGCTGGGTTTTTTTTTTTTGAGAAAAAGATAGTAAGCTAAACATTTCATTTGCGTAATTAACATTTTTAAATGGTCTAACAACAGAGCATTCAACCCCACAAGTGCAGTGCCTTCAGAAAGAAAAAAAATAGTTTTTATATAAAAAAAAAAAAAGATACATAAACTACAATATTATAGGCCAGATGCGAGACCCTGTGCATTCTTGGAATAAAACCAAGAGTGCAAACGGTGTCCTTTTAAAGATGAAAACCTTGAGAAATTTCTTGACAAACTTATATAGACATGTACATGTGCCAACCATGGTAAAAGCAGAATTGTTTTCAGGCCATTGAATTATTGAAATTTAATCTAGCATTCATTTTCAGTAATTCAGCAGTTCGTCATCAATGATTCCTTACTTGATTTAGACTTGCATTTATAGCCACATTCTGATTGCAACCTTTCTTTTTTGCCCTCAGATTGGACACATCGAGGGGCAGCCGGAGAGGAAAGGTGTATTTCCCATGTCTTTTGTTCATATCTTGTCTGATTGACACGCAAATGTCGGTCCTCCACCTCCACCAATGGGACACACTTGACTTAGCTGCTGAATCAACAATGCAAGTTTTAGAAGATGGAACCACAATGAAAAACACATTATCACCTTTCCGACATCAGAGACAAGAGTGTAAATAAAATGTCTAACTTTACCACTGTTACACATACCATTTATTTCAGCCTACCGCACAGTGGCTAGACTGCACCCACTTAAAACACCAGCACTTTCCCTCCACTATTACTGATACTTGTATCTCTGTATATAAGATTGGACATAAATGTGTGTGCGTGTTTGTGTGTTTCACACAAGGATGAGTGTGATTTCGTGTAAATGTAGAAACTTGTGTTGGTCTGAAAAGTAAATGTGAACTTGTACTCTACCTGCCAGTAAGTTACAGCTGGGGCCAGTTTTGTTCAAATAAGTTGAAGTATTAATGTGGCCATCATCTATAGCAGGGACAGACAGGAGTCGACTTTTCCTAATGGAATAACTGGACTCATAAGTTTGCTGAACATCAGTTTTCAGTTGTTTTTAACATCACATTTCCTAATACACCACTAAAGCATGTCCGAGAGTGAAATATTTGTGTTTGCTATTTTCTGTTCTTGCTACTCAGTGTAAAAATTATTAACCTGTGCAATGTCGGCAGTAATGACCATTTAAATCCAGTTCCTTACCCAGAGGTGGATAATGAAAGAAGCTCTCCACACATAAGGGTTTGTTTGGGACGAGTCTGACTGTGGCACCATCTCCTGACATCAGATATTGGGACAAGTCCTCCAGTTTCTTCCCATTATGCCGATCAAACTTCTCCCTTAGTTCAGCAAAACGACAGGAAACATTAGTTGTGACAGTCTAGTACAGGGGAGTAGCCAACCTTGATTTTACCTGGGTGGTTCAGCATTATGGTCGGTTGAAATACGCAAGAGAATTGGTTACACTTTGTCAGTTTGTTCATACTTTACCTTAAAAGCATAGCTACTGTACCTGAGCAATGAAACCGCTCACATCCGATGGTGGGTCCTGCTGTGCATTACCTGCTACATCACCTCTCCAAAAGTTTCTTTACAGACACATTTTTAATGTTGAAGCCCACATTGTGGCCAGGGAGGGCAGTCGACTTTTCCTAATGGAATAACTGGACTCATAAGTTTGCTGAACATCAGTTTTCAGTTGTTTTTAACATCACATTTCCTAATACACCACTAAAGCATGTCCGAGAGTGAAATATTTGTGTTTGCTATTTTCTGTTCTTGCTACTCAGTGTAAAAATTATTAACCTGTGCAATGCATACACCATTACCTGTGTCCTTTCACAGGTTGTTCCTGTGATCCTGTGATCCCATATCAGTGTTTGTTTAATCTACACAAGTACTTTTACTACAGTCTTATTGAAGGACAATGCTCTGTAATACAGCCCTGTTCCATAAACAGAAAGGTCACCCTTCGTCATCTTTAATATTGTGTTTTGAGAGGTCTTGATACTTGAAATACGGAAAGTTTACTTGGTTTATAGGTGTTATATTTTCAAGTGATAGACATGTACTGTATTGCAATTGGAACCTATGCTTTATCCATGCTGCCAGTAACCCCATGTTAGATCTCAAGATCAACTTCATTAGCTGTTCAAATTCCCCATGAAGGAATATGACCACCGTAGTTTCCAATGTGAGATTTTAGTCAGTCTTGAGTTTATTTTGAAACAAATGAAGCATAATTCCTTCTGGAAGATGAGATTCATCCCCCAAAACTTAAATGATCATGGTGTCCAGTTTAATTCAAAAGGAAGCACAGTTGAATTTAAATTTTATCCTCTTTGGAAAAGGAAAGTCACCCCTTTCTCTGCATTTACCCAGTATTCAACATTGAGGTGAGAATAGGGCTAATGTGCTACAGGTTTCTTTCTGACCGCAGATTCTGAGGACTGTGTCCACTGTCTGAACATGTTCTTCACTTACCATTCCATTATCAATAAAATGGTTTCATGTTAAACAAGACTCCACATCTCTCAAACATGACGTTTACTCAAGTTACAACCCACTCAAATAGTAAGAAACTCCCCAGCACTGCTACAAGTGGACTCAACAGCACACATGCAACAACTGAAGTGAAAACTACTCACTTTATTTGAAGTCCAGCAACATACTTTTAATGCTTCTCTACAGCCATGCCAAACCTCATATTGGGCCCCAGGGTCACTTTAAACAACCCAATACACCAGCGACGCATTTAAAAAGCAGCTTCACTTAAAGGCAAAATAAAGTGTGGTTACATAAAACTATACAGAAATATTCAACTTAAAGAGCACCTTTTGGTTTACATACCAGACTGCTGGTAAATAAAGTATTATAAAAGGGACAAATGAGCAACTCATTTTGATACAGGAGCTTTTTGTGTTGTCTTTTTAGCTTGGTCTACCTTCACCACGGACTTGATTACTCCAACAGCAACTGTCGGTTTTAAATCCCTTACAGCAAATCGACCTGACAAAAAACAAAGATCACTTCAAAACTGGCTTCTTTCGGCAGTAATGACCATTTAAATCCAGTTCCTTACCCAGAGGTGGATAATGAAAGAAGCTCTCCACACATAAGGGTTTGTTTGGGACGAGTCTGACTGTGGCACCATCTCCTGACATCAGATATTGGGACAAGTCCTCCAGTTTCTTCCCATTATGCCGATCAAACTTCTCCCTTAGTTCAGCAAAACGACAGGAAACATTAGTTGTGACAGTCTAGTACAGGGGAGTAGCCAACCTTGATTTTACCTGGGTGGTTCAGCATTATGGTCGGTTGAAATACGCAAGAGAATTGGTTACACTTTGTCAGTTTGTTCATACTTTACCTTAAAAGCATAGCTACTGTACCTGAGCAATGAAACCGCTCACATCCGATGGTGGGTCCTGCTGTGCATTACCTGCTACATCACCTCTCAAAAAGTTTCTTTACAGACACATTTTTAATGTTGAAGCCCACATTGTGGCCAGGGAGGGCAGTCTGAAGCCCCTGGTGATGCATCTCAATTGACTTGACCTCAGCAGTCAACTTCGCTGGTGAGAAGGAAGGTTAGAACCATTCCAGGCTTCAAGACACCAGTCTCAGTCTTACCCACAGGGACTGTGCAAACACCTGGGGAGGGGAACCCAGTTTAGACAGTCACAGTAGATGTCAAGAGTCCTCAACGGGTTTTATACTTCAAGACCTTACCCATTTGGTAGCTTTACCCACCACCAATCTTGTAGACATCTTGTAGGGGAAGGCACAGTGGTTTGCTCGCATTGCGTACTGATGGAAGTAGAGAATCAAGCACCTCCAACAAGGTTCGGCCATTTAAGTGGCCTTCTTTCCTCTTGAGTTTTCACCCTTTGAACCATTGCATCTGAAACAAAACATGCAAGTAATTGAGGCAAGAAGATATAGTCTATCGGGGTGCCCAATCCTGTTCCTGGAATCTGCCTTCCTGAAAGTTCAGCTCCAATCCGGATTAAACACACCCAACTATCATTTTCAGGAGCACTTGATAGTTACAGACAGGAGTGTTGGAGCTGAACTCTGCAGGTAGGTACCTCTACATGAACAGGATTGGTCTATGTCTTCATAGCAAGGCTGTTAAGAATGGCATTACCTTTTGGGATGGGGCAATCATGTTCTCACCACTCCAACCAGAAACAGGTATGAAAGGTACAGCACCAATCTCAAAGCCAATCTTCTTGATGAACACAGAAACGTTCACCACTTCATCATAACGTTTCTGGCTAAACGGTGGCTCGGTGAGGTCCATTTTGTTGACACAGACCATGAGCTGTTTGACCCCAAAGGTGTAAGCCAGCAAAGCATACTCTCTCATCTGACCATTGTGAGAAATCCCAGCCTCAAACTCACCCTTTGCAGCAGAGACAATCAGTAGAGCAGCATCAGCCCAAGTAGAAGAACATCACCATTTAGGTAAACTTGATTGTATAGGAAGTACCAGAAGAGAAACCCAGATAAAACTCAAGTGCTCAACTCCTGAAGATGCATCAATACCCGTGATCATGTTCTTGATGAAGTCACGATGACCAGGTGCATCAATTATAGTACAGGTGTATTTCTGAGTGTTGAATTTCAGCAGGGAAATATCAATTGTTATGCCACGTTCCCTCTCTGCTTTCAGTTTGTCCAGAACCCAGACATACTTGAAGGAACCCTTTCCCAACTTAAAAAAAAAGAAGTTACATTCAAACATTCATAAAAGGGAATTAAATTTAATACTAACCTGGTTTGCAGCCTTCTCATACTTCTCAATTGTTCTATGGTCAATTCCTCCACATTTGTAGACGAGGTGACCAGTGGTTGTGGATTTGCCACTGTCTACATGGCTAATTATGACCAGGTTGATGTGGATTCTTTCTTTAACCATATTTGCAGACAAATACAACACACTCCTTTTTCAAACCACAGTAATTGATTGGTGATTAAGTCCTGGTGTGATTAATAAAGGCAGAAACTGCATTGATGCAATAATAACCACGCCCACAATGAATTACAATAGGCTAGCTGATGTTATATAATGCATAGGCCTACTCCTGTATGTAAAAAAAAAAAAACTTTAAATTTCTACTTAACAAATACCACAGGTATCAAAACACATTTGTTTGTATCTCCATTAAACCGCAGCTTTTAGAATCGTTCTGTATTTTTTTTTCTTGACGGCAGTGACATCACTTAGGCCTAATTCAGAATTTAAAATGAGAGCACCAGCCATATGGCCATGTTACTAGTTTTATTCTAGTAACAATAGCTAATAATCAATAATGTATTTGTATGGAAACTATGGTTGCTACTAAGGTGATTTTTTTTAAGAGCTGGTGATCTCGGATTTAGGCCTAAGCTTCATGATAAAAATGTTAGAAAATTTTTAAAATGATAAAAATTGTTTTGGAATACGTGGTGAGTTGCTGTTGTAGCTACTGTACATGTTTATTTTTATTTTTATTAAAATGTTCTCTATATGCTTTTCTTTTGTTGTTGTTAAATTTTTTAAATCAAATTAGGGTTGGGGTTGATGAATGGCTCAATAATTATTTTGAATAAGCAAATTTACTGACCAAATTTATGCACAAGTTTCAACATCCATGTTTTGTATTAGCTACAACCTATAGCCAGGTGAAGAAAGTAAACGGCCCTTTTGTACTTAAACTAATTTACGAAGTTTAGGCATATGTAGCCTACTGAAAGTTGTAAAATGTGGGAAAACTATATAAAAAATTCAAGTATCATTTCACGTGACAGTATGTGTGATTTTGTAACAAAAAAAGTTTTGATTTTCTTGGAGAGTCATTAGTAACTGGTTGCATTTGCACAGGTTTTACGTAACAGGACTGAGTTTATCAATCAGGTGTGTCGCTTATGAGCAACAGCACGAGTTGACCGGCAGGGGGCGCGCTGAATACTTCATTAACTTCAATTATATTATAACAAATCATCTCATGTCTAATGCACACGCGACTAAATATTTAAAGTAGTATACATGGTTTTCTTATTATATGATAATGCTTGGAGCTTGATTTACGGTGTTTGGTTAAAATAAATGCGAGAAGCACATGACGTTTTATTAACCCGGAAATAACAGTCGGTAAAACAGCTGAGAGAGA